TCCCTCCCTTGGTGATTTATTTTCTCATTTTATCCAGGTTACCTTCTCTTTCGGAATGTGCCTCTGCTTGCATCTCAGCTGTTTAGCTCGGTGCTCGACTACACCACTTTACTTTTCCTTTTGCACGTTTCCCATTCATCGTAACTTCAGGGTTTCTTTTCCTTTATTCTCTAATTAGCATGTAAAGTAGCAGGTTTCCTTGTGGTATTTTTATAATATTTAGTTTTGGTTGATCTTCTCCATTCTTCTCCCTCATCTCCCTGCCTCACCCCCAGTAAAATTTCATAGTTTCTGAAATGCTTCCCACATCTGTGCATTTTTACCTTCTGAAGTCAGATGACTTCTAATTCCATTTGAATGCAGTTTTTGTTTTTCGTCTGCTATATAATTCTTGTTTTTCCCTATGCAGAGCAGAACAGAAATTGCTTATCAAATATTTATGGCATGCTTCTTAATTATCAGACATTGTGCTAGGTATGCTCCCCTGACACATGTATACACGAAGCTGGATAGATAGGCTGTTCTCTGTTGAGACCACTGTATATAGCAGCCTTGGTTATTCTCTCTCATGTTTCATGCACTGGAGTAAGTTTCTTAAATAGTTCCTGGTAGGCATGACCAAGTTGAGTAAAAAGATTCTGCTTTCTTAGGGACTGTAGTAACTAACTGACTACAGCAATAGGGTCAGACAGAACAGAGAAAAGTGACGTGAAGAGCCTGACCTGGAAGCCCTAAGTTTCAGACTCTTCTACCATAAGTACCCTGGTTTTCTTTACTGGAAAATCAGAATAATACTGCCTGTTCTGCCTCTCTCCTAGTTTCAGAATCAAATAGTGTGACCTATGTATGTGAAAATTCTTTGCTACCAAAGTACTGTTGACCAGCCCTTATATCACTCTTTACATTGAATTTTGTCAACAGGACAGTGTATTAGAATAAATAGAACATTTATTTTGTGTTTGAATGCACAAAGAGATTAATATCAGGGAAGTTAGGTGACTTTCATGTCATATAGTTACTAGTAAGGGGCTGAACTGGTACCTAATGTTTGACTTTCCCATGCTTGAACAGACTCAGCATCCCCTGATGGGGCTTTAGTTAGGAGCTAATAAGTAATGTGCTGAAGAGAAACTTCCTACTCAGAGGTGGGATATCTGTAGCAAGTTTCCCTTTCTTTGAAAGACTGCTGCAGCACTTTTAGCTTATTTACATTATGGAAGCACATGTCTTCCATCTCTTTCCTTTAAATTTCCATTCATAATCAGTACCCTTCCTGAAGCATCTGTACAGTTAGTGAAATAAAATGATCTACGCACATGCTTTTTGTATTTTGACATATATAACTTTTATAAGTTTTCTTACTTGAGGGCAAAAATGAGGATTGTACCTTTTATCTGAATTGGTTCAGATCAAAGTGTGGTAAAAAGAGAGCCTTAAAGCATCTTCCTTTCAATACCAATATATTTTCAAATACCTCTTCATTTAGGACAAAGTAGATGCCGGCTTGCCTACAGCAATTGTAAGTATATGTTTAACTTTTTAAAGGTAAGATTTTAAAAAATTTCATTGAGTTCTCTTGGGTTTATGCTTATAATGTTCAATATACTATTATGATGAATTCTTAAGTCATCTTACTCTTAATCAAGTTTAAAATTTGTCTATTATATATATATATTTTTTTTCCTGCTTTATTGTCTCCCCTTATGCTTTCTTTGAGAGCCAATAATGGAATAACTATTAGTCTTTAGTCTTTAGGGCTAGTTGTATGTAGTGCTGTCTTCCCCAAGTAAATTTTCTCTTTCTGTAATCTGGTCTCCCTTCTGTTATAAGGAGTGGAAACAGTATTTGTTGAAACCACTGTGGTAAATACAGATTTTACAACTCTGGACTCCAGTGCCAAGCCTGCCAAATATTATCTAGAGTGATGGTGGAGAGTTGGTGGATACTGAAAGCACATTAAGCATCTCTTTTCTGGTTTTTTTTTTTTTTTTTTTTTGGCTGCTTTCTATGACTTCCTTATTAATCTTTGGTGAGGAAGTGGACTGAAATTGAACATTTCTGGTGCCTCTTGGCTGCTGTGGATAAAGTGGAGGAAAAAATCCACATCAATTGCACATTTCCAGGAGAACTTGGGTTGGGTAATATAAGTGCCTTTTACTTCACCTAGACCCTGGTGCTTTTAAAAAATTTTAAAGTTGTTTTAAAGGAAGCCAAATACCATGTCTTTTAAATATACGATGTTGCATATATGATATTTTGATAACATTTCCCTTAAATTTAGAGAGATTTCAAGAAATAAAGTGCCCAAGCTTTAATTTTTCATTTCTCTTTTTAGATGAAATTTCTTAATAGTTGGTGTGTCATTTGGTGCCTAGAGGAAGGCACCAACAGATTCAATTCTGATTGTTTTCCCTTTTGTTTCCAGGCAGTGTCCAGTCTGATAGCAGTGGGAACATCTCATGGATTGGCTTTAATATTTGGTAATTTTCTCAGTACTTTACTGTTTTTGTTTTGTTTTTTTTGGCTTTTTTTGAGACAGGGCCTCCCTGTAGTCCCAGCTGTCCTGGAACTCACCATATAGCCCAGGCCGGCCTCGATCTCACAGCGTTCCACCTGCCTTTTCCTCCCGAGTGCTGAGATTAAAGGCATGTGCCATCATGCTTGGCCTTACTTTACTGTTTTTATATACTAAGAATCTTTGTGGGTATTATAATGTCCTTCAATTACATTTTACACAATAGACTTTATTTTCATGGACAAATTCAGAAAAATAAGAAGTAGCAGTTGGCATTATAGTTAAAAGTAACTTGGTTCCTGACTTCATTTTGATGCTTATTGCACAGTTTTCCTCCTTCTGAATATGTAAGGCATTATAGCAATCGTAGCTCTTGCTTTTCTTTAGACCCAGACAGAAAGAATAAAGCTAAAAGAAACCTTGACTTACAAACCTGTCTACATCTGGTGGTTGTTGTTAATTTTTTATTCTAAGTCATATATTCCAGCACTGGGTAGTCTAAAGGATCTTCAAGGAAAGGGATTTCCCCAGGTTTCAGAGAAATTGCCCATTACTTTCACTGACAATAAGCTTGTTTTAACTTCCTTTGTAGTCTTTCTAAACTGACAAGATGTTAGACCATAGTTACCTTGTTTTCTCACTTAGGAGAACACAAGTAGTCTTATTTGTATAGTAGAAATTAGTTGCACTTTCTCATTTTTCCTTGAGACCAAATAGTG